ATATATTGTGGGTATCTCCTCTGAGGAACAATAATTCAAGCTACTCAAGGTATTTTCCAATAACAACAAAAAAAAAAAAAAAAAAAATTTTTTTTTTTAAGAACTTAAATAAAGAATACTCTCTATTCCTATATATTGTGGGTATCTCCTCTGAGGAACAATAATTCAAGCTACTCAAGGTATTTTCCAATAACAACAACAAGGAAAAAAAACATAAATACACTAAATTGCCATCTCTCTTCAATGGGTCAGGCTAAGCTAGTTAGTGTACATTCTTAATCTCTACTGATATCACATGAAACCAGTGGGATCAGAGCATGAGCCTGTGCAATAGAGGCTGCAAACCAACACTCAATTCACCAACACATGTGCTTCACTGGACCCACAGAGTGCTTTAAAAAATTGAACCGATTTTCTAAAATCCATGGATTTCACATAAGATTTTACATTTTTATGGCAATCATAAGGTCCCTCAACCCTAACCCACCCTAATGGCAACATCTATTTAACCAAAGCTTCGTGGTCCCAACTCCTTTCAATGAGGCATGAGTTCTGGAGTTCCCTACAGTCCCCAGCACTCTCAATTACATCCATAGACTAAAGCTATTGCAGCTTCAATTTTTCATTACATTTATGTTATTGTTTTTCTTATAATAAAGAAATATTTTTCCAAACCTTATCTCTTTTTAACAGATTGAATGGCTGGTCTCAATTCTTCACCCTTCCTTAAAACTTATATCTACTTCTTTACAATGTTCTCTTCTTGGACAGAGGGTACTTCACCAAACCTTGACTATGAGCTTACCCATGTGACTTGAAGTGGGGTGAAAAATCAGTGTTAGTTTAAGACTAGGCCTTATGAGACAGACATAGCATGTTTCGGCTTTCTGTCTTGTGTCTCTGCTACTGTCATAGAAAGTTTTCCTTGGGTTACTGATGCCCCTTCAGCCTGAGAATCAAAACAAACCCATGTGGAACGGAGCTATCCAGTCACCCACAAAACTGAGTGAGCAACAGACATACCCCCCTAGCTCACTCTGGAGCAGCTGAGCTATTTTGTCTACCTAAAAATCTGTGAGAATAACTATTAATTCTTTAAAGTCACTGAGCTTGGGGGTGATTTGCTACACAGCATTATTGTGGCACTTGCTAACTGATACATCTCTACCAAAAAAAAAAAAAGCTGAAAGAATCAGACATCATAAGTTTTCCTACATGCAAACTTGTTTCTTATTTACATTAATAGTCTAGACCCTGAAGGCACTTGAGCCTGCAATTCCTGCCATAAAACCATAAACAGGAACTAAAGAAGGGTGAGTTTGTGAAATCTTTCTTAATATGACTGCAATTCAAGGTTTGACTGAAATGGTCCAGTTTTTGCTTCTCTCCTAGTTTGGATAATAAATAACATGGTCACGTTATCTACATTCAAATTTGTCTCCGATTTTTATACCAACTGGATGAATCTCTTTGATCTCTTTTTTGAGTCTGATCCAACAGCTATTACTGTGGCAGGCAGTACTTTTACCTAAGATTTTTCTGGATATAATACCTATTTGGTTGGTCAAAATCATGAAGTCAGAGTGTTGAAACATTACAAAATGCTGGTGTAGAATAAATCAAGTTTCAGTCAGTTCAGTTCAGTTCAGTCGCGTCCGACTCCTTGCAACCCCATGAATCGCAGCACACCAGGCCTCCCTGTCCATCACCAACTCCTGGAGTTTACTCAAACTCATGTCCATCAAGTCGGTGATGCCATCCAACCATCTCATCCTCTGTTGTCCTCTTCTCCTCCTGCCCTCCATCCCTCCAGCATTAGTAGGTGCCAAACTTAACATCTACCAACCAATCAACCAACCGGCCATCGAAACCAGATCCCAATTGAATGAAACTTAAAGGGATTAGCAGGCTAACTTACAAACAGGAAGTACCTAAAACAACAGTAAAACTAAAAAAATCAAGTGCCCCCAGAAAGAAAAGTTCTGTCTTCAGAAGGCAGTAATTACTGCATCTGAGTACATCTGCTTCACAATCCAGGAAAGTGGGAGTTTCACTCTCTATTAACCTTAACCAGAGACATTTTCATCAAAATTAATCGTGATTACTTTTTATTGCATTTCAAATGCTATCCTTTATTTGGGGTGGTCAGGAATGCAACTAAGCAATTCCAGACCATGCTATCTTTTATGAATATGCCTATGAGGTAGTTATCAAGGCCCCTTATGAAAATATTGCTATACAAAAGTTCATGGGCCAAAACAAGACATTAATTTCCATAACTAGACATGTCCTTAGAAAAGAAAAAAAAAACTATATATAAAAAAAAACAGAAACTTTGATGCTCAATGCATATCATAGCAGAACTACACAAATACCCACATACATAATACATATTCTTAAAAATGCTTCTTTTATCTTTTCCTGTTCCATAACCTCTTATGGAAAAACCTGAATGAACTTTCTGACCAACCCAATATAAAAACAGTCAATCACTAACACTTATTTTGAGTACAGCTTGTGCCAAGCACAGTTCTAAACTCCTTACATGCGTTGGCTCTTTAGTCCTCACAGTAACTCTGGAGTAGGTGCAAAGATCATATGCATTTTACAGATGAAGAAACTGAGGCTTAGTGAAATGACCTGCTAAGAACATTCAGTTGGTAAATTTGGAAGCTTGAAACTTAGGCATTCTAGCTCCAGAGTCAGCTAAGGAAGGTAATAACAACACTTAATCTCTGTGTCACCATGACCGACTGGTTTGTTATGTTTTGCGCTATGCAGCCTCTGTACGTCCTCTGACAGCTCTCCTGTGTGGTGAGCCTGCCCTACTGCCCCATCCCTTCCATGTCAAACTTAGCTCCAATCCCACCTGTTTCATGAAGTCTCTCTGCCACTCCACAGTTTTCTTGCCTTCCTCTCTTAATTAGAACTCTCACTACTTGAAGACAGTCAGATCTGGATTTATGTCCCAACTCTGCCACTTAGTAGCTGAATAATTTAGGGCCTCCTCCTCCTTCTCATATATCAAATGGGATAGCAGTTAATCTACCCCATACTATGGTTATAATGGATCTCTGCGATTTTATTTGCCCAGCATCCCTTCTGAGCAGAACCCTTTTTTGTGTGAGGGATTACTTGTCCTCAATCTCAGACCATGGGACTTGGGTGAGGTTGACCCTTTTTCTCTAGACTCCAGGTAACCATATAACTTGATCATGGCCTGGTCAATTTATTAATTCTATCCACCTTCGGGTTTCTGCTAGAACTACTCAGAAAGAACCTTTCTCCTCCCCCTGGGGTGACTGCACTTGTAGAATGTAGGCTGAATGCCGGTAGCCATAGTTGGCATCATTGTGGAACAGCCTTCCTGAGAATCAAGGCAACCAAGAGCAGAGCATGCCTGTGAGTAGAATGAAGACAGATTCCTGATGCTATTGCTTGAATACCTTCATGTTATAAGATCCGGGGTCTATTCCTAGAATTTTCAGTTTACTGAGCCAACAGAGTCCCTTTATCCTTCTTAGTTCAACTTGTTGTGTTCCTATGACTTGGAAATAAGAGCCCCAACAAACCCAGCTGACAGAACCAAAGACAGCACAATACACAGAATACTGAAAAGTTAATAAATGGAATCCACTACTGCTACTGTTTCTCTCCATTTGTTTCTTGAAGGCAGGAAGACTTGAAGTCAGTTCCATGTCTACTACTTACTAGGATGCTACTTCATACCTTTTCTGAGACTCTAGTATTACCATATATAAAATCACCAACATTATTGTAAGGTATGAATAAGAATACACATCTGACAAGGCAATACAGTTCTGCAAATTTTAATTATTATCTCAATTTGTAGGTTCCAATATAACATCTCATATGATTCATGGGAGAACTAACACCCAAAACCCTGAGACTGATTTCTCAAAAACATTGAGGAAGCCATGGATTGAAATAAACTACTAGTCCATCCTAAGATGATCTCAGGAGTGAACAAAGGACTTGATGCTACTATCAAGATACCCAAATCAGGCATCAATGTACAGGGGCTTGATTGACATCATCAGGGCACCTCCAGAACACAGAGAAAAAAGAAACTAATATTGACTATGTAACCACCTTGTGACATGTTCTATGCAAGACATTTCCTTGTATTTCCTACTCTGGAATAGTTACTTATTTCTCTTTTGGTCAATTAAAAAAGAGAGTTATGAGTACATACTGAAATTATCTAACTTCTTCTATCTCCAAGGAGGAAACCTAATATATAACTAGAGAAAGACACTAATTAATAAGCAGAATTTAACATGAACTCCGGCCAACTAGAACTTGAACTGTTCTGTTTAAAGGCACACTGGAATAAATAAAGGAACTTCAAAGCAAATGCCCTGTTTTAGTTTGAATGTTTTATTGAGCACATGGAGAGAGCTCTTTCAACAAAAATAGGGATGGCTAATGAGGAAAAATTGGTGTTTTCAGTCAGCCAGTTGGTTTCTGAGATAGGGCCATCTATTCAGAGATAACTATATTCCACAGAAAAGACAGAATAATGATCAGAGCCTTGGAGTTTTGAACAAAACAAAACCAGTTCTGTAAAATGTCTGAAATCAGTTTGATGCATCCTCTTCCAAATACCTTCTGTGATAACACCCATACATTTCACTCCTGACACCAAAACAAGTTCAATATAATTCTAAAAGGAAGACATTTCTGTTTCAAGATTCTTGCCAACTCTGTAACCGCAGCCCTTACCTTTTAAGGTGAGGCACAGGAACCGAGAGACTGTGTGCAGATTGAGCAAGTTCCACCATAACCTGCCTTTCTTGGGCACTATTTTGAAAATTATACTCCATACTCAGAAAGACCTACTGGGAGTACACAGTTAGTGCGGGACTTAGAGCAAAGGTACATCCACCATTTCCATGCATGCTTTCCCACAGCAAGGAGTGTATTTTGGAGGGAGTTGATCTCCAATTAGTTAAGGGTTAAGAGAAGGCTGGACTCACCTGCAAATGCTGAGAGTTGTCAGTCATGCTATCCTCTCGCCTGCGGACTTCTTCCAGTAACTGGGCATTCTTCTTTTTTTCCAACTGTTGATTGTGCTTCAGGTTGGCCACCTTCTTGTTTTGATCCTTCATATGCCTGAGAAAAGTTAGCACAGCTTGGTTAAATTCAAACATTGGAAGATAATGTGTTATCATAAAAGAAGTACCCAGTATAGAACATTTTGATATGTGTTCAGGAAAATTTAGGACTTCAAAACGTTCCATTCATTCAACCACAAACATGTCTGGAGCACCCACTTAACACCAGGTGCCAGAATGGAAGTGAGGCTGCTGTGGTGAATGGGACAGGTATAGTCTTCACCCTGCTCATGGAGCTAGCAGTCCAGTGGGGGGAGACAGACAAGTACCAAGAACACACAACTTGGGTTTCCATATGTCGAAGGAAATAAATAGCATGCTGTGAGAGATGATGATGTGATTATATGTGGACAAGCAGTAGGGTGGGGGAATGACTGCAGTCACTGTGGTCAGGGAAACCTCCTAAGGAAACAAGACTATGGGTGAGACTCAAAGGATCCAACCCAGGAGACACTAGTGGAGGAGCCCCTTAGGTAGAGAGAACAAAGGATGTTACTCCCAAGGCAGGAGAGAGCCCAGTTACTTCTCTCAACTGGAAGGCTACAGTGAAGCTAGTCCAGGCAAGGCAGGGGGACAGACAGTAGGAAGGCACAGGGTTGGGGAAGAAGTGAGATGGGAAATGGAACTGCAAAGGTAGGTGGGACTCAGGCCACACAGAGGGCCCTGTGGTCTGTGATGGGGGCATTTACTTTCTTCTAAGTGGTTGCTGTTCTAATTACTATTATTCTTTTGGATCATGTTCCTATTTTGAAATCATAATCTATTACTTTGATTTTAAAATAATAATTACAAGGCTCCAATCAAATACACTGTCATCACTTAGCTCAAGCAGAGTAGCACTTTGGCTAATCACCATGTTAAACAAAGCCTGAGTGGTTGGAATAAAAGTTCTTAATGAATCTATAGGATTTCAAAGTGAAAAATCATAAAGTGATCAAGTGAATAAAAGACTAAGGATAGAAGACAGTTTTCTTAAAAAAAAAAAAAAGGTGTGTATGTTGGAGGGAGTTACAGACTTCATGTGGACTCTTTCACCAGCAACGTTTAGCAAAACATTCCACAGATTTAGGCAACCATGTCGACAGCAGCTCCCATAAATCTAATCCAACACATGAGGAGACAGGAGGGCAGTACAGAGCGCTCAGGAGCAGTGATTCCAAAAGAGGAGAGACCTGGAACAGAGTCACTTGGGGGTCTCCGGCAATCCCTCTGTGCCCTTTCCCCAGCACTGCTGAGTCAGCCACTGTTACTGAGCCCTGACTCCCAACAGAAGGGTGTTGAGAACCACTGCTCTTGCAGACTTATGGATGAGATGAGAATTAGATGATAAACAGCAAATATGTCCAGATGAAACAATAACCAGGTGGTAGCTCCGCTCAACAAGAAACCCTTATTTCTAGTCCTTATAAAATTATACACTCCCCTACACCCCCCAAAGCCAAGAAAATGAAGTTCAAAAGAACTGTTTATTAAGCTGAAAAATCTATTAGAAATCTTGCTAATAAAAATATTCTGAACACTTTGGCTCTTTACAAATATTTACAGAACCAACTGAAGCAGTGATTTAAATACTCCTGGTGGCACATATTAAGGGGATAAAAGCTAAGGTGGAATAACCATCCTCTTACTCATTATTTGGACTGGATAATCACTGTCTGATATTTCTCATTTTTAGCAAATACAGTATTACATACCTATGAAGTTATGAACTAAGTGTACACACTAATCTACTTTTAGAAGACTGTCTTCTGGTTACTATGTAGGTGCTAAGAATGACCTCTTGCTTCCTAATTGAACAAGAATATGGAGGTTCCAAAGTTCACACTAAGCCAGGGGAAGCACATTTTCTTGTTGCGTAGGAAGTAAGATCAGTAACAGAATGCGATGGAGAGGTCCATAACACTAGTGAGACTGTTCAATTACATAATATTTTTATAACCGAATATATTTTTTTATTACTTTAAAATCCACACTTTTATAGAACTAATTGCTAAATATTTCCCCTGCAAGTACCAGGGATAAATATAATAGATTATTATTACAAACATCATTTGCACTGTTAAAAAACTCCCACATAGTTCTTGAAGCAGTTTGAACATATTAGACCTTATCTCCTGGGATGATGCAGTGATTTTTTCAATCCAAAAAGAAAAAAAAAAAAATTCAAAATCCACACATCCCTGAAAGCTTTCCTAAATTAAGAACAAGTAGATAGGAAAAAAGAGAAACTAAAGTTTGGACTCTGTGATGGAGGCCGATCATCAAATTCTCCAACCATTCCTTCAAATACTGACTTACTTAGGACTCCAGTGATTAGAAAGGTTGGGTTTTGAATGCACTGCTTAGGATTTGGGCCTAATAGATCAGTGCAGGGTAAGGTGATAAAAATGACGATCTTATCTCTGTACACGTGAACATCAAGAGATACATATACAGTACACACACTCCTTGACAGGAGCGCTATGGTTTTCAAATGTATTTCTATGGGTAGAAGTCTTTCTTCGACTGAAAGTTGCCTTGAAAGTTAAATGTGGAAGGAAAAATTGCTCTGCCAGAGGCAGGACAGAGATAAGGAGTGGGCTGGGGTGGGAACAGGTGATCAGTACTTCATCTACCAGACACTCTCTCTTTCAGGTGCCCCTCAGGGAAGCGGTAAGTTTATGAAGTGCAGGTCAGAAACAGCAATTTATAGGGTAGGAGGAGAGAGGGGGAGGCAGGTAGATAAGTCATGAAATTTAAAAATTTGAGATTCCTTGAAGAAGAGTAAATGTACCCACAGAAGCTCACTGGAATGAATAATCATAGTGATTTTTACTACCAATAAATTTGACATTTCCAAGAACAGAGATTTGTAAGTGACATATCAGTCCTTTTACAACCTGCAAGAGTAAATTCACACTGCATAAATCATGCTAAACTCAGGACATACCTCAACTGTCTCTAAATTTAAGAAGGTAGAGCCCCTGGGGGTGCAGATGACAAAGCCTTCGGGCGATACTGCCTCAGAGAACAGTGTAATGACACCCACTTCCCAAACTCCCACCCCCTCAGCACCCTGGCATGCCAAGGCCCTGCCAGAAACTGACCTACTCTATGTTCTAGAAAAAACTGTTTTGGGGGAGTGAAATTTTTCTGCAAGGAAACATCATTAAAATATACTCAAGACACAATGTTTCTTCAAAAAAGCAGTTATTGGATCCAGTGGTGAATAGAGGTTAGTTGGAGAGTACAGTGATAGGGTCAGTTTTCCATGTTCACCTTAAATTGACCAGTTTCATAAAGCAAGACACATCAATTTTCAAAATTAAAAAGTCAGCACTTTTAAAATTCCAACAGGTATCAAGATAAACAATGGCTACCATATGAAGAATGAATAAATGACATTTCTCCAAAGATAGCATATAGATGGCCAATAGGCATAAGAGAAGATGTTCAATATAGCTAATAACTAGAAAAATGCAAATCAAAACTACACTTCATACCAGTCAGAGTGGTCATCATTAAAATGTCTACAAATAACAAAGGCTGGAGAGTGTGGTGAAAAGGGAATCCTCTTATTCTGATAGTGGGAATGGAAATTGGTATAGTCACTATGGAAAACATTATGAAGGTTCCTCGGAAAACTAAAATCAGAGTTGCCATATGATCCTCCAATCTCACTCCTGGGCATATGTCCGGAGAAAACTGTAATTTGAAAAGACACACGCACCCTAAAGTTCACTGCACATTTACAATAGCCAAGACATGGAAGCAACCTAAAAATCTAAGTCTATACACACACACACACACACACACACACACACACACAACAGAACGCTACTCAGCCATAAACAAGAACAGAGTAATGTCATCTGCATCAACATGGGTGAACCTCGAGATTATCATACTAAGTATAGTCAGTCAGACAGAGAAAGACATTTGTTATACCCTATGCTGCTGTCTATAGGGTCGCACAGAGTCGAACACGACTGAAGCGACTTAGCAGCAGCAGCAGCATGATACAACTTAAATGTGGAATCTAAAACATGACACAAATGAACTTATCTATGAAACAGAAACAGACTCGGAGACATAAAGAACAGACTTATGGTTGCCACAAGGAAGGTGGGGAGGGGTGGATTGGGGGTTTGGGATTAGCAGATGCAAACAATTTATATAGAGAATTGATAAACAACAAGGTCCTTTTACATAGCACAGGGAACTATATTCAATGTCCCGTGATAAACCATAATAGAAAACAAAAAAGGAATATATATATATATCTGTGTGTATAACTGAATAACCTTGCTATATAGCAGAAATTAATATAACATTGTGAATTAACACTATCTCAAATAAAATAAATTTTTTTAAAAGGAATGAAAGTCAGAGAGAACAGAATCCTGCTATTTTCACTAAAATAGTCCATCAAATTAGAATTAAAGTATTCTCTAACTTGCTGTTGAGAGAGCATTATACTTTCAAAACTACTCATTCGGTTGAATGAATGCTTGCATTGATGTCATTGTCACTTCTCTATGTTAATATATATCTAATTGATACGATAATAATGTTTGAATTTAGAAACCATGTGAAATACTTTCAAAAACCTTACATCTTCTCTGACACTCAAAGTAAATATTACTTTCACCAGGTTTGAGATCTCTTTCATTTATTTAAACTTTTAGGATTTTTAGTTCTCCTATCTTTAATACCATATTTTTTCCCACTTATCAGACTGTCAGGACTTAGTATCTCTTTTCTTTTTCGTTCTTCCCAAAGGAAAGGAAATTGTTCTCTATTATGACACACCCCAGAATATAAGACAGGCGATGCCTATGTTTCTCTAAGAGCATGTGTATTTTTGCATATAAACTAAAAGAAAGCTTCCTTCTTTTAAAATCCCCACAGAAACAATATGTCTGTCATTTTTTAATCCACCTGGTCTCAAAATCTTTAAATTGATAACATTCACTGTTGGAGAGGATTCAGGAAACCAGCTCCGTCATATGTCACAAG